TACGGATGTCAAATGTATTACTATTTATATACTATTGAAATTTAATACAACGAAATATAGCATTCTACGTCAATAATTTCAATCATAGTTTAATAATTATTTTCAATCTTTAGTAATTCACCGTTTCCAGGTTTTTTTATACCTTTAATAAAGCTACAATAAAGCTAAATTTGTAGAAAATAACATTTTTTAGTTATAAAATAGTATAAAAGAAAATCTAACAGTCAATCGCTTTCGATACAAACTTGACCTGCCTTGACCTTGTTTATATTACCTTCGTTGGCAACTAACGATGAACAGTCGCTCATAAAAACATTGCTTATTCGCGTGAGAATCTTAAGTTTTCTTATTTTGACATAATAGCTATTTTTCAAACAATATATTGATCTTAAACTTATTGAATCAATATTTTAAGTTTCAGATCAGTTGTACCAAAAGTTATAAGCGGTCGCGCATCATTACCAGGGCACAGGGTCGGTCATACAGAAGCCCAATTTATTGGTTTTTCTAATGGTTTTCCAATGATTTTGGCGTGACCGTAATTCATCATCAAAATGCTGACGTCATGGTCCTGGCTGGTGCGCTTTTGGGAGGCATTTACCCCCCTGATAATATTCAAAATGATAGACGTCCAGGGGGGGGGGTTGCCTCTTTGGTGTGCACTGGTTGGGACGTGGCAGCGTTTACTCTAATTACAGTCTTTCAAAACATGGTTTGGAAACACCGCTAAAGTCTTTGTTCTATCTTTTTGTTTTGCGTTTATGCAGTTTTGTGCACGGTGCACAGTCAATTATGAACACATTGTATTTCAGTATAATGAACGAATCATCCAACAGCGACGTTTCAGTTCAGTCATTCAACCATGTTAGTTAAATATTAATAAACCTAAAACAAAGGATGTTCATGGTGTAAGGTACGGCTCAACGTAAAATCCCAGCTCATTATAACCGCTTTGAAGTTTACTGAGTTTCCAGACCATGTTTTGAAAGACTATGCTCTAATCGACCTTCTGTGTATCTTTGTTCAGTGCCAGGGAGTAACTGCTTCTGTTTACTGTACTTGCCGACTGACAAATCATGACAAATAACACGTACACAGAAAACAATGGAGATGGCCATGATTTCTGTATAATATTCTGAGTTGTGAGGTTTCATGGTTTTGATGGCATGCAACATGTACGCACTACGTACCTATTTTTTAGAATATTGCGATGGTATTTTACTGTTTTACCAACCGCGAAGGCCAGTGTGAACGCCTGAGCAGGCGTCTTGTTATAATTAATAAGGCTAAAGGCTACAAACAAATCACGACGTCATATATAGGTCACATGTGTACACTTGTAAATTGCATTAAAGATCAGTAAGTCATGTCAAAGGGAATTTTATGAATGTTATCTTATACAAATAATGAATGTTTATGAGTGCAATGGTAAGAATATTTTCATGAGGTGAAAGATGGAATGTTCCATTCAACGAGGCGACAGCCGAGTTGAATGAAACATTCCATCTTTCACCGAATGACAATATTCTTACCATTGCACGAAGAAACATTCATTATTTGTTTTATATAATACCAAAATAGACTAATAGATTCGTATGAGAAGCATTTTGAGGGATGTGATTTATCGAAAACACAACGAGTGCAATTGTACTATACGTTTTATTCCATTGCACTCGCGGAGAGTGCAATGGAACGTGTTCCATTGCACTCTTGGGAAATGGAATTTTCTATTCAATATCACGTGACCATAAACAGCCAATTAAACGATTAGAATTTAATAAGGTATTATATAAATACTAATATATTATATATTTTAAATACATTCTAATGAAGCGTGAGATGTTACCCATGGGTCCTGAATACAAAATATAGTAAACCGCCGAAATAAATTTATTTTACAACTACGTTACAATATTCGCAACTGATCTTTATAATTATGGGGGTTTAACAATGCCTCGGGAAACGCGTTTGCCAAATGCCTATATAAAGATCAGCTGATCATATTTTAACTTGTACTTGAATAATAATTATTAAATGTCATACCGTTATAAACAATACATTTTGTTTGAAAATAAAATTCACCAATTAATGTCCGCTCATGGTTTCGTTGAAACGAACTTTTCAGATATCGATGAATGTGCAGATGGAAGTCACAATTGTCATGTCAAAGCTACATGTGATAATACAGTAGGTTCATTCACTTGTACCTGTAATGCTGGCTACGCAGGAAATGGCACTTATTGTCAAGGTTAGTTTATGATGCCGAACACGCGGATATAAAGCGAGATATACATAGGCGTACGAAACGAGGGAAACTATATAAATAAAGTAGGAAGGAAACAACCCCTAAGGAAAATTGAAGTTGAGAACATTTTAAACATAAGTTAAGCAAAAAGATGCGAGTACAGGGATTGAAAAGCATTTGCTGATATATTTGTGGAATAATAATGATATGTACAGTATATATTATTTGCAACGAATACAGTCAAGAATTGCTTGTATCTTGCTTCTAAAGTCAGAAATGAAAAATCGAAGACAGCCAATCAATATTACTGCCAATCAATATTATTGCTGAGAATAATTATGTCAAGTTTCATTCCGATCGGACAAGTAATGACAGAGCCGTAAGGTTCTTTCAAAGAGCGTCGCCCCCTAACAACAACAGCAACAGCAACAACAACAACAGCAACAGCAACAACAGAAACAGCGACAACAAAAACAACTTGTACTTGAATAATAATTATTAAATATCATACCGTTATAATAAACAATACATTTTATTTGAAAATAAAATTTACCAATTAATGTTCGCTCATGGTTTCGTTGAAACGAACTTTTCTGACATCAATAAATGTGCAAGTGGAAGTCACAATTGTCATGTCAACGCTACGTGTGATAATACAGTAGGTTCATTCAATTGTACCTGTAATGCTGGCTACGCAGGAAACGGCACTTATTGTCAAGGTTAGCTTATGATGCCGAAAACGCGTATATAAAGCGAGATATACATAGGCGTACGAAACGAGGGAAACTATATAAGTAAAGTAGGAAGGAAACACACCCTAAAGAAAATTGAAGTTGAGCACATTTTAAAAATAAGTTAAGCAAAAAGATGCGAATACAGGGATTGAAAAGCATTTGCTGATATATTTGGTGAATAATAATGATATGTACAGTATATATTATTTGCTACGAATACAGTCAAGAATTGCTTGTATCTTGCTTCTAAAGTCAGAAATGAAAAATCGAAGACAGCCAATCGATGCGGAATGTTGCTGAGAATAATTATGTCAAGTTTCATTCCGATCGGACAAGTAATGACAGAGCCGTAAGGTTCTTTCAAAGAGCGTCGCCCCCTAACAACAACAGCAACAGCAACAGCAACAACAACAACAACAACAGCAACAGCAACAACAGCAACAGCGACAACAAAAACAACTTGTACTTGAATAATAATTATTAAATATCATACCGTTATAATAAACAATACATTTTATTTGAAAATAAAATTTACCAATTAATGTTCGCTCATGGTTTCGTTGAAACGAACTTTTCTGACATCAATAAATGTGCAAGTGGAAGTCACAATTGTCATGTCAACGCTACGTGTGATAATACAGTAGGTTCATTCACTTGTACCTGTAATGCTGGCTACGCAGGAAACGGCACTTATTGTCAAGGTTAGCTTATGATGCCGAAAACGCGTATATAAAGCGAGATATACATAGGCGTACGAAACGAGGGAAACTATATAAGTAAAGTAGGAAGGAAACACACCCTAAAGAAAATTGAAGTTGAGCACATTTTAAAAATAAGTTAAGCAAAAAGATGCGAATACAGGGATTGAAAAGCATTTGCTGATATATTTGGTGAATAATAATGATATGTACAGTATATATTATTTGCTACGAATACAGTCAAGAATTGCTTGTATCTTGCTTCTAAAGTCAGAAATGAAAAATCGAAGACAGCCAATCGATGCGGAATATTGCTGAGAATAATTATGTCAAGTTTCATTCCGATCGGACAAGTAATGACAGAGCCGTAAGGTTCTTTCAAAGAGCGTCGCCCACTAACAACAACAGCAACAGCAACAGCAACAACAACAACAGCAACAGCAACAGCAACAACAGCAACAGCAACAGCGACAACAAAAACGACTTGTACTTGAATAATAATTATTAAATATCATACCGTTATAAACAATACATTTTATTCGAAAATAAAATTCACCAATTAATGTCCGCTCATGATTTCGTTGAAACGAACTTTTCAGATATCGATGAATGTGCAGATGGAAGTCACAATTGTCATGTCAACGCTACGTGTGATAATACAGTAGGTTCATTCAATTGTACCTGTAATGCTGGCTTCGCAGGAAACGCCACTTATTGTCAAGGTTAGTTTATGATGCCGAAAACGCGTATATAAAGCGAGATATACATAGGCGTACTAAACGAGGGAAACTATATAAGTAAAGTAGCAAGGAAACAACCCCTAAAGAAAATTGAAGTTGAGCACATTTTAAACATAAGTTAAGCAAAAAGGTGCGAGTACAGGGATTGAAAAGCAAATTATATATAAGATTACAGGAAATTGCAGGAAATATGCAATGTGGCCAAATTTTTGCTTTCCCCCCTCCCCGGTTGACACAAATGCATAAGTTTTATAGCAGCGAAATATTGATTGGTCGGGCAAAAAGTCGGACAAGGTTCTTTCTACCGCCTAATTTTCTCCTCCCATACGTCTATGAAGATATACTGTATACAACAAATGTTTGATTTCCACCGGTTTCCTATATCTTGTCTACCGTCATCACAAGGTGGGAGGACTTGACGTTCAAAAAATTCTTAGCTAACTACTTTTTCTTGTAACTGCAATGAGTTACAAAATCTGGGGACCAGTTAGGTTGAGGCAGTTACATAAACCCTCTTCATCCTGTGGACTAAAATTTAAATTTTATCGGCAGTGGCTTTCTGTTTAATTGTGTTGTTCAAACTGGCTTGTATTCAAATATTTTGGCTAAATATTTTATGATATTATTTTTCACTATACAATATTAATATAGACGAATTACACTTGACTAATTCTAAATCAAGCTCTCGTATATACTTATATTATTAATCAAGCTCACGATTTCGTTGAAAAAACATTTCCGATATTGATAAATATGCTGCAGATAATCACAATTGCCATGACAATGCCACATGTACCAATAACGAAGATTCATTCAATTGTACTTGTGAATCTGGCTACAGATAGACTGCTAGCGGTTCCTCCTTTACGCTGCTTTAGATTTCCGGGCATGCGAAAGAAAGGCGAAAAAAACGAAATACGCGTTGCCAACACAACGGAAAATTCCCATTGGTCGAAATTGATATGCCTGTCATTCAAATGTGATACGTAGTAATTATGCTATAAATAATTTCCAGACTGAATGTTGATTTTAAAAATAAATATGATATTAACGGGTCCTATTGGATAGATTTAATGAATGATTTGCCCGTTGCCCAACCCCCATATTTCGTGCTGTTAATGAAATACATTGACATTAATTGACAAGTTGGACACACCCAAAATTGTCTGGACATAACATGTCATCACGTTTTATATTCGATAAATATATTCATTGTAAGTTCAACGTTAATGGCGTAACACTGTTTATTACATGGTGTGAGGAGAAGCTACAATCATGGAACATATGAAGCCTATGGGTCGTGTGGCAGAAAACTGGATGAAATGGAGACAACGCTGGAATCTTTACGCGAAAGCCAGTGGAGCCGACGAAAAAGACGAAGAGATTCAGTGTGCAATTTTCCTTCACACAATCGGAGAAGAAGCATTGGAAATCTACGATACTTTCACCTTTACTGAAACTGAACAAGATAAGATCGAGCCGCTCATTCAGAAATTTGAGAGCTACTGTACACCAAGGAAAAACACGACATACGAGCGATATATACTTAATACGTGTGTACAAAACGGAAGAAAACTTGATGCATTTATACTTAACCTTCGCAACAAAGCAAAGACCTGTGAATCTGAATCACTAACGGACAGCTTAATTAAAGATAGAATCGTTTCCGGAATCGACAGCAACAGCATCAGAGAGCGTTTGCTCCGAGACAACGACCTCACGTTGGAAAAGGCGATTATCATCGTTAGAGCCGCAGAAACAAGCAAGACCCAAGTACAAAAGTTAAATAATCTTTCGCTCGAAGTCGAATCAATTCACAAGAATTTTGAATGAATTTCTCGCCGTAAATACCAGAGGGAAGAAACGAAACCCAGTAGAAGTGTCAGCAAATTAAAAACACAGTCTTGTTCGCGTTGTGGCTCAAATCATGTACCAAAACAATGCCCAGCGTTTGGACAAACATGTCGCAAGTGTCACGGAAGTAATCATTTCGCCAAAATGTGACGCTGATCACTGAGACTGTGTTTAGACCCGAAAGATCTTAATAACTCAATAAAAAGAGGACATTACAAAGCACCGTCCGCTGAATCCATCTCAAATCACCTGAGTGGAAAGAAAGTATTCACCGTAATTGACATGTCCAACTACTACTGGCACAAAAAACTTGATGAAGAGTCATCCTATCTGTGTGCATTCAACACACCATTCGGTCGATACAAGTTCAATCGCATACCTTTTGGCATATGTTCTGCATTGGATGTAGCGCAGAAAATGGTAGATGATGAATTTTCTGACATCCCTGGTGCGCACTAGCAGTACATGATGACATCATAGTCTCAGGTGCCAACACAGAAGATCATGACATAGCTCTAGAAAAAGTGCTACATCGAGCAAGAGAACGAAACATAAAATTCAACAAGAAGAAGATCCAACTACGAGTCACTGAAATGAAATATCTTGGCAACATCGTTAGTGCTAAAGGATTCACTCCTGATCCTGAGAAGATTAAAGCCATTGTCGAAATGCCTCTACCAAGGAGCAAGCAAGATTTACAACGCCTATTAGGAATGGTGAACTATCTTTCACAGTACATACCAAACATGTCTGAGATCACTGCGCCACAGCGTACACTTCTCAAAAAAGACATACAATGGTCCTGGCACAACCAATACCAGAAAGCACTCGAAAGAATCAAGTAAGTCCTCACAAGCTGCCCAGATTTGCACTTCTACGACATCGATAAGCCTGTTACCCTCCAAGTTGATGCGTCACAAGGTGGACTGGGTGCATGTTTAATTCAGGAAGGACACCCAGTAATTTATGCATCCCGATCACTCACCAATGCTGAGCAGCACTATGCTCAGATAGAGAAAGAGCTGCTCGCAACCGTTTTCGCATGTGAACGTTTCAACCAATTCATTTATGGGACACAAGTCACAGTACACAGGACCACAAGTTGTTGGAAGCCATCATAGCTAAACCATTATCACAAGCACCACCGCGAATTCAGCGTCTTCTCATCCGACTACAGAAGTATCACCCAACAGTAAAAAATGTTCCCGGGAAATTCCTGTTCATCGCCGACACTTTGTCAAGAAGAAGAAAGAGAACAACGGGAACTTAATGATGACATTGAAGTAATGGTGCACAGCATGGTTACAGCAATACCAGCATCTCCTGAGAAAATGGTAGCGCTTAAGGAAGAAACAGCGAATGATGAAACGCTACAACAACTTAAACAGCAGATGGTTCAAGGTTGGCCTGATCGCAAGCATGAAATCCCGCAAAACTTAGCTACCTACTGGAACATTTGCCATGAGCTGAGTGAAGCAGAAGGTCTGATCTTCACAAAGACCACCAGTTAGTCATACCTGCAGCAATGACAAGCAATATGCTCAACCTGATACATGAAAGTCATCTCGAAGTTCATCGAAACAGCCCTTCTTCCAAGCAAGACAGCAGGAACAGTAATTAGACACTTGAAATCATTTTTTGCCAGACACGGAATCCCAGAAGACTTGGTATCCGACAACATGCCCTTCAATAGCAAAGAGTTTGACGAATTCGCCAAAAAATGGAGATTCAAACAAACAACATCAAGCCCAACCTATGCTCAATCAAATGCATGAGTGAAAAAGCTGTACAAACCGTAAAACGGATCCTGAGGAAGGCTAACGATCCATACGTTGGTCTGTTGAAGTACCGTAACACGCCTGTTACCGGAATGACATACTCCCCATCACAACTGCTGATGAGCCGCACCACAAGAACGAAGATTCCGATATCTAAAGAGTTACTACTACCGGCCGTGCGAATCAATGCACAGCAGCAGCTTGAACAACGACATCCTCGTTCCCAGGGCTTCTCGGCTGCCTGCGTTGCCGTTAGCCCTGGGACAAGCCGAACCGGAACACCACAAATTCTGGTGTTTTCCGGAAGTAAACGCGCTCTGCTGCAAGCTAAAAATACTGACTATGCATTAATTTTTACTGAGGAGTGGAGACGTGTTGGTGAGCAGAAAATATTGGATTTTTCTTTTGTTTCGATGTATTTTCCACCATCAAGGGAATATATACAGACCACCTAATGGAATTATACATATTGGGGGTTTATATTTCGTTATATCGTTAATATTCGTCAAAATACAACCATATTTCGGTCTCGTATTACATGTATCAATTTTCATGTATGATGTAAACATGATCGAGTCGAAATGTGCTCGAAGTGGCCGCTGTGATTCGAAACATCATGGGTTCTTGTACAGATGACCTGTTTCAACACGCGCTTGTAAAGTCACTTCAAAGACTGGACAAAGCCGGACTGGAAATTAAAGAGAAGTAATTCGAAGCTTTATCGTCTATCGTATGTATATAAAAGGAACAAAAACGACATGTGACATGTCTAAACGGCGGTGTGTGTCTGTTTACTAGGTTACAACAACGGCAATATCAATGAATCACCTAACATTTCAAGAAAATATAAATTATAGATAGATGTCATGCATGACCCCATGAGTTTTGGATTTGAATTGCTAGATTTAAATCTATATTATGTATACAAAATCATGCGTGCGTAAATTTGAGCAAAAAAGCACAAGGTGTTTGTTTGGCCATATGCCCATCATGTAGTATGAATATTGAACACCGTTTTATATAGCACGTTTAAAACGTTAATTCCATGCTGGATAATCCTGAATCCTTCACCGATTACATGCGTGGCAAATGACGAAAAATAATTATGTAAAATAATTAACCTAATAATTATGTCTTTGGCCGTGAATGCAACTCACTATGCAGCCTATGCTGCTTTATACATCTGACAGTCAAAACTATGTGCATGACTGTATGGCCCAATGTATGTTAATTGTTTCAGAGAAATTTTTGTGTTCAGATTAAAGTATAACAATATTTTCTGCATTCCAATATATTTTCTACATGCAAGTGCACATTCTGTTTCAGATAGGGGCCAAATCATTTGAGGCCAAATGGGCTAGCCAATGATTGGATGGTAGTGTTAGCAAATTTGACTCCCTTACATAATGTCAAGTTATCACTGGTCAATTTTTAAATTTCTTACAATTTCACATCAGGGAGTTCATTGCCCCCCCCCCCCAATTATCCAGAAGTGTGACTAAGCATTTTCTAGTATCTATCCAGGTGTCCAATCTAAATCTCCACCACAACAGGATGTATACCCGAGTGATGGTAAGGGAGGTGGGGGTTAAAATTCTGATTTATCAATATATTACTACACATTTCCACATTAAAAATATGAAAAGTTTTCCAGTTCAATATATCTATAGCATTTAATGCCATTAAACCAAAATTTCAGAATACAAAGCA